ATATATATATATACACACACACACACACACACACACACACACACACACATACATATACATATATCAATTTTAATTAACACTTACTCAAAATCTTTTTTTTGTTTTTAACAACTCTTTCTTGTCCAATGTAGGATAAATGTTCAACTACGGAGTTATATACTACACATTGAACAATAAAAGCTACATGATTAACATTACTGTTAGAAAAAAAGTGCCCTTCTAAATGAAATAAGAAATCCCTCACAAGAAATACTATTTAAATCACTGTGCATAATATGAAAGTTCTTATTACAACTGTTAGTCTAAAACAGTTACACAAATATGGACACTAATCTTACATTTCTACAAATATCTTATACATATAAAACACAAAAGGAAAGACACAAATGGGCACTAATTGTACATTTCACTACTCTTACTATCCCAAAATATTTTAAGCCTCAATACCCTTAATTAATTACAAACAAGCTTTAAAAATTGTTCAGAAACCCAGTCACTTTACCACGAGCAAATTGACTATACATAATCAATGCTTCAGAATTTCACATAAAAAGGGTAACAAAAAGTCAATATATTAGTTATGTACACAATTTATAGTTTAAAATATCTTGAATGCAAAAGGTTGATAGATGCCAAGTCTCAAAGTGCTTACAATATACAACATAAAAGTTTTTGTTACTCAGTTCAAGTTTCAGTAGTATCTTTTTGTGAAAGTGCTATAATCAAAGTTAATGTTTTAATTGTTAAATATGCTTCTAATCCTCAGATTACTTTGTATGTACTTAAAAGTGGTATGTAGTTTAGTTGCTGAATGATTAGGTGTCTCAGTCATAACATTTTGTATTTTAAGAAACAACAGTAATGTTGGTTTTATTCATAAAACAACTTCCAATAAAAGTATATTCTGTAAAATAGAAAAGAAACAATGCAAAATGATTTTTATATGATATGGACCTTAAATTATGAAAAATAATTATTTGAGTCAAATTTTCTCCCACTTACTTAAGCTATGAGAAAAGGTACATCGAACAACAACAACAACACAATGCTTTCCACTTAAATAAATCTTAAAATATTTCAAAGCCATAATTTCACAAAATTAACCATAAAAAGGAAGCCTTTATATTAACTATAAGCTTTAATAGACACCATATTTTACAATAATAAAACTTAAAGCTAAGTAATTATTAAAGCATCATAAACATCAAGTAGGTAACTTATCAAGTCCATGCAATCAGACACTTGATAATATGTAGAACTAAAAGGGCACTCAGTAGAGCATATACCTTTGTCACACAGCATTGATGATGCTTGGCTCTCAAAGAAATACAAAAATGTGTCTGTATGTCCGTCATTATCAATGAACACAGACAATTTTTGGCAGAACAATGAGGAATAATATTGTATATATGTCCATCAAGTTTCATCAAAATCCAATCATTTTTGACTGAGCTTTTGAGCAAATATAGCATGAAAAGTTGGTCCTATGTTAACAGATAGGGATTTTAGGGTTTTTCTTGACCTTTGACCCTCAAAAAACTAATCACTTTTAAGTTGGGTTATAGTTCAAATGTATACCAACTTTCATCTAAATCCATTCAGACATTTGAGAAATCTTGTTGACAAACACACACACAAGTGAAAATATAACCTCCATCCACCTTCAGAGACAGAGGTAATAACAACTACACAGAAAACACTGTATACAGAATTAAAACTAGGTATTAGTGAAATATTTCTATATCTACTAAGTAAAAGCAATAACAAATACAGTAAACTCACTTTAGTGGGTACATCCGAAGACCTTTGTCCATTCCTGGACAGTAAGAGAGGAAGGCAGCTAAGGCAGTCTCAAAGAATAGACCAAAGTTCAAAGCATGATTTCTGAAAGTATAGTTTACAAAAAAGGATCATAAATAGTAAAAAGAGAATATCAATATCAATTAATAATTCTTAAAAAAAAATATATTGTTACTTTTCTTTAAAGAAAACTGTACTCACTTCATCCCTTGGTGAAGAACAGAATTACGGCGAGTCTTACAAATGATCAAATCAGCCCACTGAACAATCACGATGGATACAAAAAATGCTGTGTGGCAGGTGTATTCCAGAATCTTACGATCATAGTATGTCTACAAAATGAGGAAATTGTATACATTATAACATTTTACAATCACAGTACACTATGCAATAGTATAGCTTTCTGGTGTGTAAGAAAATGTTTCATTTGCAAAGGTAGGAGACTTTTTTAAATATTAGCAAATTGTAATTTAAAAAGATTTTCAGCAATATAAAACTAGCTTGAGTAGCAAGACTCAAAACAATTTTTCTTAACCATAAAAATCATTCACTTTACTTAACATTTTATTTTCCTATAGACAGTTAGATTACAAACATCTTGTGCTCAAGAACTTAGCTATATATTTTAGTACATTTTATTGAAAACTATGACAAAAGGATATCTTGTTGACCTATCAATGTGTCTGTAAAGATAAAAATTGTTTGTTTGTTTGCAGAGCATAAAGCTACGTAATGGGCTATCTGTGCTGTGCTCCCCATGGGTATCAAAACCGGATTTCTGGCATTACAAGTCCACAGACTTACTACTGTGCTACTGAGGAACAAGATACAAGAACAAATGGCTGTAATAAAAATATATTATTATAACACGTAGCATGTATTCAATTGAATTTAACTGATATATACAGATTAGCTTAATCACATTCACTATGTCAAGGTTATGACCAACTCTGTATACTAATAATGTCTATGAAATTACAAAGCTCTGTAAATATGTTTGTACCAAATCAGACCTTTTCCTGAAAACCTTGCTTACCTATCCTAGACTATTATTTTTTTGTAAATGGGTATCTAGAAGATGTAGTTAGCTAGTACTGAAAAAGAATTATAACAATAGTGAACAAAATGAGTATAAAATGCAAATATTATGGAATTGCTCCTTTCTTTCTTTCAAACTGTCAACACATGAGTATACTCTGGTGCAACATCAAGACTGTCTGTCATCCAATAGACTGTGACAAACTGAAGAGTATTCTCCTGTGTTGACAGTTTGCACTGAAACTAGCTGTCATCCAACAGATTGTGCCACATTTGCATATTACCTATAAAAATATAGACAATCATACTATTCTTAGCAGTGGTGTAATAAATGCCATTCATAGCTTCAGGGACAGAAATGACACAAGAAAAACACTGATATGTATATTATTGAAGCTGTATGGGATTATATTGAAACAGAAAAGGTGAAACAGCAATTAAATAACTTGGTTAAATTGTGTGGGAGAAATGCATTGTACAACTTATTTATTCTTCTTCATGGAATATGCCGATCAGTTTAGTAAAGTAGGGTGGGCATTAATTTGGTGAACTTCAAACTATGTCATTCAGTTCAAAATGATGACTGAGACAATATTGTATATGACTACTATAAACAGTATTGGTTTTGTCCCATAGTCTTACCATTCTCACCATTAAATATAAAAAAACATGATGCAGAACACTATCAATTCCTTTAACAATCTTAATACCTCAATGAAATTCCCTCCAACTTTTTTTTCAAGAGAAAACAGTTTCAGAGATCTTAACCTAACCTTGTATGAAAACCTTTCCATCCAAGGTATCATCCAAACAGCCCTCCTCTGAACTCTTTTCAACAATTCAATATTCTTCCTAAGGTAAGAAGCCCATGACTGAAAACAGTACGCCAGATGTGACCTAACCAATGACCTATACAATAACATTATAACCTTTTTGGACTTGTATTCAACATTTCTGTAGATACAATCTAAAATCCTATTTGTCTTGCCACTAACAACAACACATTGCTTGTATGACTTAGGAGACTGAACAAGCAGAATCCCTAAATCCTTTTGTTCCATAACAATGTCAAAGTTTATTCCCATCAAAATTTTACTTGTAATTCAAATTGTTATAACCTACATACATTACTTTGCATTTATTATAAATGGAAGCTATCAGCAATTTATTTGCCCAACTCAACAAATAATATAGATCCTTTTGTGAAGCAGCAGTATGCTACTCACAACCAGTAACACCCAAAACTGTCTCCAGCATGCCAAACACCTCAAAAGTCCAACACCAGCTTTATTTATCAATCCGCCTCCAGCCAGACCTCACCCAAAAAAACCTGTCTTAGCCACCAGCACTAAACATATTAGCCAACCCCCAGTCATCATAGTGGAAGGTATTTCAGCCACATTCAGACAGCCTCAGATTGCTACTAAGCTTGTCCATCACTTCCCAATAGTCAATTTCACCAATGTATGCCATCTATTATAGGAATGTATTTGTATTAAGTGTGCTCTTCCCCAAAAGTATACCAAGCTGGCCTGTTTTCAAAGGAACCAGGCTAAATATCCATATTACTGGTGACTCTCATTAAAAAAAATAATTGTAATGTATGGAGTACCCATTAATACCATTGATGACAAGATTTAGGCTGAGCTGTTAAATCCATGGTTTGCATCTTCTTCAGGGTATCCTCCACATTGGATTGGGAGTAGTCCCCTAGTAATCCAGATGTAATGTGGAAAAAGCTAACACCATGCAAGCCTAAGTCGTGCAGGTTTGGCCACAACAGGGTTGTTTGCACTGCACAAGTCAAGTGAGCCTGATGCTTCAGACACCACCTAGTAGAAAGGTCCTCCAAACAACAGGAGGAGACTTGTTGTGTCCATTATGGAAGACCCCACACTACCTTCTACAAAGGAGATACCCCCCATTACCACAAAGTCACAAGTGCTAATAACAGGTTTCCTTCAATCAGGGGTTCTACATCCACCTGGTATCACTCAGCTCATCACAGAATAATACCCAGCAAAACCTAAACCTCAGAAAAACTAATTTTATGTCCACAATCCAGACTCTGCAAGAAACCAAACATCCACCCAAGCAAGAGGAACCACCATGCAAAACCTATGCAGACAACAAGCCCTTCCAGTAGTTTACAAGCATAAAATAGAAGCTATGGTAACCTTGTTCACCAAAAAAAAACACAAACATTATGAAGTCTCTTAAATCAGGTGTGTACTGCAGCACAATACCACCCGAACCTAAAGAACTCAGACCCAACAGCCCTCTGCAACTACATCATGCAAAAATATAATGAGAATAGGTGTTACCACAATAAAGTACGTTTTCTTTCTTTCTTCTTTTTTACATGTTAATATCTACAACAGTTTAAGCTATGAAAAATATGAACTAACAGATCTGTGGCTGCAAACTAATACAGATATTTATTTAACAATGAAACTTTTAAATTCTTCCTTCAATCGTCATATAGACAATCGTATGTTTCTTCTGTACAGGAAAAATAGCAACTTCTGTTCCTAGACAACTCCACTTCCACTTCAAATGAATTTATTTTATCCAACCTGCATGTTCCGAACTTTCCAGTTATCACTATTTTAGCATTTATTTTCCCTAAAACTAAACCTGATATTGTTTTCATTCAAGCAGTCTTAAACTTTAATCCTTACATAATTATTCAAGGTGATTTGAACTATAAAACATCAAATAAAGAGAATGGAATCACTCTTCTCCTTATAAATAGCAACAACCACTATTACATTAAGGATAATACCCACATTCACACTAATGGGTCACAATACATCTTGAACCTGGCAATTGTAGCCCTTTCCTTTAATACTAATTTCATCTCAAATTCCCATGCTCATGAAAACACTTAGGGTAACCACAATCTCATTTCTTTCCATTCATCTCTAAACAGTATACATAATAACTGTGTTCAAGATTGAAGAATACAAGATTTTTTATAAAGAAGGTTGAAAACTATTACACAATAAATTAGATAACCTCCTATCTAGCATACAATCTTTCATTTTCTAACCACAAGACTTAGAAAATTAATTTGCCAAAACATCTCGTGCTATACCTAAAACCAAAGAAAGTACAGTAATATTGAAAACCACTAGACATAACATTAATGCCTGGAAACTAACAGTGAAAATACACACAGTAATCTGTGAGATATGCTGTCAACTTGCAAATCTGTGCAATTCCTCAAACAACAACTCTAAAAATCAAATCCAGAAGCTCATTGATAAGTAACAGCCATGAAATTGGGAAAAATTTTGTATTTCCATTCATAAAGCAACACCTGGCCTCACTTTTCTGATATAAATTTAAAACTATTTGTAGAAATAACAATGAAAATAGTAATATTTCACATAATGACTCACTGTTGCTATGTACAGCAAAAAAGCTAACCTTCATTAACCCTAACCTCCCTAACCTAGACATACTTAACATTAATTATGACTTTGTTAACACTTATATAACTTCCAATAACACGGACTATATCCCAAAATTTACCACAATATTATCCAACCAAATTTCCAATTTCTCCTATGACAATATAAAAAGACTTATTTCAGAAAAAAAGATACACATTAAGCATTTAAAAAGTTCAGCCCCTGGCAAAGACTGAATAAGCAACCTCACCTTTAACAACAATTCTGACTATCTAATATTTCACTTATTTAACCTCTCTCTTCCTTCTAGCTATTATCATACCCACTGGAAATCAGCTTTTATAACTAATTCCCAAGAAAGGACCCAAAACCTTCAAACCCAAATGATTTTCATCCTTTAAACTTACTTAACTGTATTGGGAAACTTCTAAGAATATTATCAGCACTACACTGCTGTGGTATCTAGAACACAACAGCCTTATTTTAAACATGGTCCATAAACACAGAAAAACTGCAGGAAATTTAGATTAACTGAAATCGTTTTTCATGGTTTCAATTGTAATCATGCCACAATCACTAATTTCTTAGATGTCATAAATGCTTCTGGCTCTTTATAGCATAACAGACTCAAATTCCAGTTAAAATCTTACAACATACCACTCATGTTTCTAAGATAGATCACACGTCTCCTCACTTGTAGCTAACAGAGTTTGGAGTTTTCTTAAAATTAATAAGAGGCAGTTTGTTCTCAAGCCTTCTAAAATTCAGGTAATCATTTTTCATAAAATATTAGACAAGAAATTACCCAGACTGAAAAACTTGATCTAATGCTATATGACACACACCCATCACCTTCCTAAAGAAAATTTTCTTGGTATTACTTTCAATAATAAGTTAATTTACCTGGAAGTCACAATTTATTGAAATAAGTGTAAAAACAAATCACCCCCAACATATAGAACATTGTGTTCATGGCTGAAAACTTCCATTCTCCTACATATGTAGGAAGTTTTCATTAGACCATTAATAGAATACATTGTATGATAACTTAATATGTCTGAAAGTGTCTTCCACAAACTACAAACACTTCAAATATATATAGCTCTACATCTCAATACCTATATTCCTGTGTGTCATGTGAAAGTTTTGAATATCCCAACAGTTTAGAACAGACTCATCAAATTAGCTTCTAGGTTCTACAAAACATCTCAGAAAAAAAATCTTCACTCAGCACAGTTTTCTACCAAAACAGTCACGCTCTCCTCATGGCAAAAATATACCTTCCATTTCCAATTCATAAATAACCATTAATACCTAACTACCTGGCATGTTAACATTTCTAGGTTGCATTATACTGCATGTGATTTTCATTCTTCATTTAAGTGAATGGATAGGTAGTTTTTGTTCAGGGTCTGAACAATTGCACACAGAAGTTGAAGGTGGAGTGAGTGGATAAATCAATCATCCAATCACTATTCCACACAGCCAAAGTCTTGGGAAGGAAAGAGCAGTCAATCAACCTGTTCCTGCAAAAAAGAATGCGGATGGGGTCTAGGACAAACATGTCAGATGTCGCATCTTAAGAGAAATACAATACATAGAACAGGATAAGGGGGGACAAAATACTATAATAAAAAAAACAACAGCCGTGTATCCACTGATTATAGAAATGAACAGACTGTTCCCAAAGGCCAGCTGAAAAAAGAAATTGTGAAGAAGTGGCAGATGATCAGGTGGAAGGGAGTGATGGATGGCCAACAAGAGTAAGCAAGAAAACAGGCTATTCTTTGTGAAAAACTTGCCCATCTTGCAAGATACTAGACAAAAGTCACTTGTGAAGATGAAGGTATACAATGATGAAAGATGGACATCCTATGCTGATTTAAAAGGGACCTCCAAAATGGAAACTGCAACTGTGCTGGTAATGAAGAGCAATGACAATAATTTAGCATGAAGTGCTACAAAACAGAGACAGCACCCTGGAAAGAAAATGAGAGAAAGACAGGCATACAAGAAAGAGAATGGACCAATCTTGACTCGTAGTATTTACAGCAAGGGCTGAAGAACCTGGATCTGATGCTAAAGAGTGAAAACTTGGTGTTGAGGAAAGTCTCAAAAGCATCAACTAGAGGATTATGAAATTGAGAATAAATCTTTTGAAATCCCAGAGAATGGAAGAACCACTGTGTGGAAAGGATCTGGTGGTGGCAGGACAGTCAATCACTAAGTGTAAAGCTCCAAAGACAAGGAAGGCTGTCAAGTTATTGTAGTGATCATGGCTTTAAAAGAGGAGCTTTAGAGCAAGATAGCAAAAGTTGAGAGTGAGTACTTCCCTGTCAACAATGGAGTTGTCTGAATGGATCACAATACGATGCCGAGACAGACATGACAAAAGCTGGTGGCGGGCTCATTGAATTACCAGCACATAGAGGACATTGATGTGCAAAAACCACTCCTCTGAACACCAAACACTAGTAACTGTAAAGGTGTTAATAACTGCAGCCCTCATACAAGGAGGCTTTTGTAAACAGGTAGAAGTCCAAGTAAGATGGGTAAACAGGGAAGCCCAGGATCATGTGTAATTGATCAAGCCACGATGACAGCAAAAAATGTAGATATGGAGGGAAAGAAATCAGTGGGTGACTGAACATATTCCACTGATGTACCAGAGGCTACTAAAAGGGGAAAAAATGGCAAGTACTTCAGAAAGGTAGTGACCCTATAAAGAGACAGACTTCTTGAGTATGGAGAAAAGGAGAGGTGAGAGCCTTGGAAATCAGAAGCTCCTTATTTCAGAGTTGTGAAGAAGAGTGTTGAACCCACCTAGTATACGAGTTGATAAAGACTCTCAAATGAATCAGATACTGAATGGGAGTCAATATAGACAAAACTCCTGATCAATCAACCAACCAATACAAGCAGATGCTTGAAGCACAAGGGACACCACAGCAAGGATGGGGCTATTAGGAGCTAATCATCCACATACTTGTGGAAAAGCAGACCTAGCATCTTCCATGAAAAAGCCCTCAGAACTTAGTTGAAAACAGATGAGGCTTGAGCCCTGAAAGACAGATAAAGACCGTAATAGAGCATATATGTAACCAAAGGGTTTTCTGTAATACGAGTCCATGGATGTGCAAAGTGTAATAATCAAGCTCTCACATCATGGTTGAGGTGTGACCCTCTGAACAAGTTATCCCTGAGCTCTTTGAGGGCTGACTTGTTGAGAGAAGTAATACCAGAAGAGGGCCACAAAATGAGCAGCAGGATAGAAAATAGGACCCAGTGAGGCTTATGAGGTTAAGAAACCTGCTGGGTTCACTTAGACCTAGATAAAGGGGAACCAGAGTAAGCAGAGAAAACTGCTGATAAGCTGTCTCAGCTTGAGTTTCTAAAGGATGAGGAATTATCCGAACAATGTTTTTAGAATGAAGGGCATCAAATGAAGCCCCAGAGATGAGACTGAGAGAGTATTAACTCCATAAAGTATGGCATTTCAACCAAGCAAATCCCAGAAAGAAAGAAAGAAAGAAAACAAAATAATTGAGCAACTACTGAAGAAGAAATTGAGGCAACTTGGAGGTGGGTGTGGCCTTCTACAGTAAAGGTGTTGGAGGTTGCAATGCCATACCCCAGGAACAAGTAACAAAAATAGATAGCTGAAAAGTTGAACAAGCAAAAGAAGAAGAAGATCAGTAGGAGAAGATGAAAATCCCCAAGATGAAAGAAAAGATTCAAGGGATAGGAGCTATAAGAAATTGGAAGAATCCAGACCATAGACCACAGAGGAGTTTTGAGATTGGGGAGAATGTGGCAATTAAGATTCAACATGAAAGAATTTACATCAATGCAAAACTAGTAAGACAGGAAAAAAACAAATCCTAGTTTTGAGGTGGATACCCGAGTTATCACAGTGGGAAAGGACAAAAGTGAGGTTACTTGATCCTTGTCAGGGATAGAACAACCAGAACCAAATACAGACTACAGAGAAAAGCTGGTCAAAATTGTACAAAGACATAGCAAGCTCAGCAGAAGCAACAAAATCAAGAGTCCTGGATCCAAGATGAAGAATTTAGAATAGAACTAATCACTTAAAGTACAATGATGGTACCATTGCTTGCTGTCAAAGTACCTCAAGTTGCCATTGAGGTAGAATAAGACAACTCCTGAAAAGGTGTGTTTGGACCTTGGGAGGCATCAGAGACATGGATCTGAGAATTCTTATTCAATAATACTCATGAAACTGATTGAATGAAATTATCAGTAATTACAAAAGGCTTATTCCCTTTGTCACTCTGTTGAGAATGCTTTCACACTCTTTTTTTGGTAAAGCTCAACAATGGTGTATATGTTGAATGCTCAATATTTATGTCAATTTGTTAAATGTTTATTACTACCAAATATCTTTTATTCTTTGCACAACTGAAAGAGTTAAAAAATTGTGTAGGTGTTTGAAACGTTTTAAGAGGTAAATAAATGTTAATAAATATTCTTTTGGTATCTTAACACGTTTAACTAATTGGCCTAAAAACAAAGTAAATAAACATTTATTACTACCAAATATCTTTATCCTTTGTACAGTCGAAAGACTTGAAAATTTGTGTTGGAATATCTGCACTATGTTTTCTACTTCTTGACCTAGAATACAGTGAAAAGGCTCAAGAGTACTATTCCTATCTCTTTCAGAGTGCACACGTACTTTTGTTGATGATAATGTCATTTTTCTGCATAGATTTCATTAAAAACGTGGTGATTAAAGAATTACTTCCAACTGATGAACTAAGTGAAGAGTAGATGCATCTTGGAGGTACAGACAAATACATTTTAGTTAAATTATATAATTTTCGTTTACTCAACAATGGTTTTCTATCACTTTTGACGGGCTTTTATACTAGTTATTATAATATTTTTGTCACTGCACTTGTTTTTTTACTCATTTACACACACATACACAACTGAAAGTATTTTCAATTTAAAAATTAAGGCACAGCCCAAAGACACTTTGTTTGACTAAAGGTCTAAGAAAATAATATGTCTAAGCAGTGTAGTGCCAATGAAAACATGAGCTTTTTGTTTATACAAAGTGTTCAAGAAGGATTTGTTACTCTTTTACTGATGGAGGGGTATAGTCTAATGCTGATTGCATCATAGATTACTGTAGTTCACATTATTACATGTAAGGATGAACAGCTTAGCACATACACAAAATAGTTTTGGCAGTAATTTTGTGGCACTAGCTATTTGTATCATGGAGAGGTGAGATAAGTAGTTTGAATAACTCATGTAAGAAACTTCAAAAAAATTATATCTAGGCATGTGTAATTTCTCAAATATTATTTATGAAGAGATGTTAACTGTTGATTATATAAATTCTGAAAAAAAAACAAAAAACGTTAGACTTAGATATTCACAAAATCTAGTAATCAAAGAGAAAAACATAATGTGTATATATACCCCTTTTAACTGAATATTTCAATTTCTTGAAATAAGACTATCAAGTAAAAGAATTTTTTAAATTCATGGATTTTCTTTAATTTAATTACCAGTGATGTGATGTAAATCCCTATATCAGTACCTACCCATTCCTGGTTGTAAGAGTCTTTCAGATCATTGATGGCTTTTGAATCCCAGTGTTTACGAATACCAAGTAGTTTATTTGGCCAGAATCCATTTTCTGCCATAATGACAAAATAAACAAAAAATCCTGCTGCAGCCTGGATCATACCAATCTGTCCATAGGCTATAGAGATCAACCTATGACAAAATGAAATTTTATCATTAAACACTTCTTACCACTCCTAACAGCACAAACTACACCATATACAATTATTACTATTTTCACTCTGATAATTACATATTATTGCACAGTCATTTCATGGGTGACAATCAACAAAACTTCTAAACAAAGTTAAACCAAGTATAAGATGAGCTGAAATAATTTTATTTTTCTGCTGATCAACTGAGCAAGTAAAATTCACATATACGATTTGCAAATTCTAACTTTACAGCTATGTAAAAATCATGTTAAAGTTCATAATTATCTTAATACCTTATTAGTTAAGTAATAAAAGAATCAAGCATAAAACCTTTTTACAAGACTAAGTTTCATATTCCATGTCATTCAAGAATAATGCAAATAAATAGTGACACACTATACTGCTTATCAAACAAGCACTTACGAATTTTTACACAGAGAATTTGACATCAAGTTTTTTATGGGGAGGGGGCATCTTTTCCATCTGTATAATAGATAATGCTATCTAAACAAGCAAACTTAGACAACCATAATGAGAAGATTATGTGTACTTGTAATACTGTCTTATATGGTACAACTTTCTGTATGTGTAAAAAATGTTGGATATACTTGTTCATAGAACTTACTTGCACACACAGGTTGAGATGCATTTTTATATCAGTCAGTCATTGTATACACTGTTCATTTTTAATATAAAGTAATAATGTTACTGTTAAAAACTTACGTTTTCTTGTTGCACCATGAGATGACTACATACTTGTGTAAATGATCATGCAAATATCAAAACACATATATTGAGTGTATGGGAAATATATGTATCATTTAACATTACACTTTGTCTATTTCACGAGAACTCATGGTTATCAGACCACTTCAACCTACTGAGAAAGCTTTCTACATTAAAGTTTTAGAAAAGTTTGTTCTTGGTAAGTATTAAAAATGTAAAGCAAGAATTTTTTTTAAAAATGGTTGTCCACAAAGCTTGATTTTTTCAAGATTTCACTGTTTGGAGATTTTATTCAATATATGTATTATTGTTGACTAACTAAAAAATATATTTATATATATATTTATTAAGATATAAGTGCAGGAACAGCATGGGAAAATTAAAACATGAATAAACGGTTAAAATCACTAACAGCAAAAATTTTTTTTGAATGTGATAAAATATTGGTCAATTGTTGTTTAATGACAATAATGGCCACATACAATAATTTTTTTTCCCTTTAATAATTATAATCATTCTCTTGCATTCTCAGAAATGTTCTGTTACTGTAATAATTTTCCACATGTACGGCACTACTACTCTTACCCAACCATGTGCACAATATGACTCTCATTCTTTATTTATTATGTTGTGCATGGGTTACAGCTAGTGTTCTACCAAAAATAGTTATTTCGTTTTCTGTTGTGTTAAATGTATGAGCTGTATGATATTTCAATCAACCGTTTTTACATTTGTTTATATGTTTTATATTTTAACTGACTGTAAATATCTCAGGATTTGGGATTTTCATTGAATGACAAATACAATTTAGATTCATTTAAATATTTAATTTTTTCAAATTTGAAAATGAAATTGTATATTCTTTGGTAACTTTCCTTAACTTCAAATAGCAATTCAGAAAACATCACTCTGAAGGGAGTGGTGTATTTGTTAAGCCCAGGCTATTAAATGGATGGAATCCTTGTGGAGAAATTTTTATAAAATTGTTTTTCATTTACGTTTTCTTACCAAACCTATTAAGTTTCTAGTTATTGCATGTTATTTACTTTCTTAAAAAACTAACAAATAAGATATAGACATAAAAACACAACATTTTTTACTTACTTTAGACTTGAGCATGGTTTAACAAGCCTGTTTTTTTATCACTAAGTTCATTGTCCACAAATAATTCACATAGCTTTCAAGTATGCATTTTAGAACACAAAAAATACTTCAGACACTAAATCAGAACATTCAGAAATTACTATAATTTATCTAGCTTTCTAAATAGCCTATAAATTAGTGACAAAATTTCATTACTTCTTAGAACAATGTCAGATTAAGCATATCAAGCTCTCATGATGAAAATATTGGTTTTTAAAATAAAACAATAATCTGATCTACACAGTGTACAAGTTCCTTTTTCTATTAATTATAAGCATGTCTGATAGCAATGTCAGCAAGAATTAAAGACACTTTTAAAATACAAAGGCTATGGGAGGAGTCAATTTAGGTTGAACAAATAGTGACATAACAGTAAAGCAAGAAGAGGTTGAAGTTTTATATTCTGATTTGCCTATATTTATAGCATGTTTCTAATTGGTTGAACAATATGAAGCTCTTGTAAGGAAAATGAATAAATCTATAAATGGAAAGTTACATAGATAATATAAAAATTTGAATTTTAAAGTACATTTTGATGGTAAGCTTATTAACATCCACTGACAATAAACTAGTTTAATTAAATTCTGAATGTAATTCTGTAAAAAGATCATGAAAATGTGCACTTTGACCTGTTCATATCATTAGGTAATACACACTTTCTAAATTGTATCTAGTTTCTTCTTAAAAAAACTAATATAATTCAACAATTTGTTGTGAAACAATCTATTCAAATGCTTCCTTTTATCTCAAAACTAAATATATTTTTATTATTGATAAAAAAGTTTATTTCATATAATCTAGTCAGTTTTAACTTTTTTGATTTTCATTAATATAGATCTATTCTGCCACTTATTAATCATAAAAACTGCCAAACATTTATCGATGACCAATGAACTCACCTTCCAAAATGGCATCATCATTGTTTTTTTTATACATATATATCACACAGCAACATAATGGGCTACCTGCACTCTTTCCATTGCGGAGAATCAAACCCCAGATTGTAATATTGTAAACTTACTGCTTACTTACTGGGGGTGGCATCACCATGTTTTTCAGGCATTACATCATGATTTTTGACAATAATATTCTTGGTCAAGATCAATTTGTATCTAATGAATAATTCATTTTCAAAAAAATAGTAAGTTGTTTAATTTGTGCATGTTGTTTCTATACAATTGATAAACTTTACAATACATTCAATGAAAAAAGGATCTATATCATCCACGTAATTTGCTGTTGCTTACCATACTCACTAAACCTACCTAATGTCTTATCATAGAAAAGTACTCCTTTTATATAATTTAAGACAGAAACAAACTCAAAAATAAAAAGAATATCAAAAACTCTAAAAAATTCCCAGATCTGTATTTTGTTCCTATGTATTTTAAACTTTGCATTAGGATTCCTTCTTTAATCCCTCGGGAGCTTCAGGCAGCTATTATAGACAAACCACATATTATTATTAAAGCTACTTTATTTGCTCTGTAATGATTTAGATAGGTTTAAAACTCTTCTATCAAACTGTTTTTAACTGTCGACTCTGGCTATTTTCAAAGCTGAGCTTCATTAGTAATAATTCAGACTGTATTGTAAAATGGTGACAACAAAGAACTGTATTAATAAAACCATCATCAAAGAAGGAAAATGCCTTGAAAAACAATCATTATATTACTAAACAAATGTAAAATGTTTACATAATTTCAAACATTCTCAATTCCTATATTGGAAAAGTTGTTTTTTTTCTATTTAAGTGTTATCCTACTTATTTTGTATTATTATATAATATTCATAATGAATCACATAAAACTTTTTCTTCTCATGTTGTTTTCAATCCTTAATCCTTGAAAACAATATGTGAAGAAAAAGAATACAAAGTTTTATACACACATACAATATACCTTGGGTAATGACTAATTACAATTAAAAGGGACATTTATGTATTACTTTAAGGGATTCTTTTTATCTCCAGGTATTTGTTTAAAGGTTTTTATCTACTTCAATAATGTGGTATTGAAATTTGTTTGCTAGGTGTTGCGTCTGTTTGACATGATCTTCATAATAAATAGGAATTGTAAACTCTATGTGTACCCCCACACCTGATTCAACTTATGTGGTAAGGTTTCTTACAGTATAACTCTTTCTCTCTGTTTATTCTGAATATTATTTTATTACACATGTTCTCTTTAAGTGATTGTGATTGTAAACTTTCGTTAATTTGGCTAGGTTTTATTTATTGGGTCTGGGATTTACAGTTTAGTTCATTATCAAAAAGATCAAGTCTCTTTCATATCGAGAGGGTACATAGGATCCAGTGATGAACTCTGGCTTAACTGACACAAGTGGATCAGAATGGTGACATTTCTCCTTAGACATGATGTCAATCCATAACAGGTCAACCCTATCAGGCAGCTGGTTAAACTGAAACAATTGGGTTAAAGTGTCTTGTGCAAGAACACAACAGCACGACATGAGCAAGCCTCAAATTCACAAACATCCAACTATGGGAAGTATGAAGCCATTAAGCTGCACAGCTCCACAGTTCATAACAACACTGTTTTAGTGCACTTCCTGTAGTGAAGTTAGTAGGTAAAGTACATCATGTTATACATAGGGTTCCCACACTTTCAGCAGAAAAAAATCAAAAATAATTTCTGAATATTTTCGTGAAATTCAAAGATTATATCAGTTTTTCTTACAATTTCTATCATAAAGATGTTAATCAATGATTATAACATTGTATTGAAAATAAAGACTATTTCTAATTGGCTTCCCTCTATCATCAAGTAATATATATTTTTTGTTTCTAGGTGGTAAAACCTTTATCTGAGCCCTTTGTTAACAATAATTGAATTTATACACTCTTTAATGAAAGAGACATAGTTTAATTATTTGAAAAACTTCAAAATATATTTATTAGTTTATATGAAAATCTAATATTTCAACCAATGGCTTTCTAGCCTCTTGTCCTCCCACATTTGATAGGGGATTCTGGCACGTATCATCAAATGCTCCTCTAAATGTTTGCTCTTCAATGGACTTTAATCCCAGGAAAGAGAGAAAAATATACATATTTAACATTTTCAAATTTTTTACAACCAAATGATTTGTAAAAATTAGTTTCTGAATTGTCTAGTTATGAACTTTATTAGCACTTCAAACACAAGTTATAAGTTGTCTTGTGAACATGGTGTTGATTTCTTTATTTTGAAATGACTATGCCGTGACAAGTTCTATTAACTCTTTGAATTCGGGCTTGGTTCTTGGGACCGACCTCGTAACCATTTTGTGCTTGTTATAGTTTTCATTCTATAACTTTTAAATCAATAAGCGAATGTTAAGAAAATTTAGCACTTTATCAGTAAACATTACAATGCTTTCATATGAAAAATACCT